GAACAACAAAAACATTCTTTTCAAATGCCCTCGAAGAAGAAACGAAAAAACAGGGTGGGCGGGATAGGGAAGAACGACAAAAATTTTTCACAGACTGGAAGTAACGTTTTAACGTAAAGCACTTAAATAGGTCTTGCTCCGTCCTGCTTGAGATCCGGCATCCGTCTTTGCTCCATTCATAGGCTGAGTGCAGGACAACCATCAGACCTCGTTATACTCAGATTCTTTCATAGAATCTTTCTCATAACTACGGTCTATGGAACGCAAGGAAAACGGGTTCGTCTTTCGCCATGGGTTTATTAATTTGGGCGCGATGTCCGTGCGCCGGGTCTTACGTGTCATTCATGGCAACAAAAGGATGAACACAAAGCATCAACCACAGTAAGATGCACAACGTCAAGTGGTAGAACAACAAAAACATTCTTTTCAAATGCCCAAGCAACCCAAAAGAAAAGCACCACCTAAAGTTTTACTTTCGAACTGATGCTTTAATACCACACGAAACTTTGGCCGTAAACTGTTCCTTCAGCACTTCGTCACGCTGCACATACTTTTCGAAACAACCGCTGCGCCAACCACCCTGCGCTTTTAATTCGTCGACCGAAGTCCCACTGAGCATGGCGAATGTTGCCCCACCCCTTCGAAATGAGTAGTGTACACGCAGGGGTAGCATGGTTTGGCGCATATTTTAGCGGCGATCTGGCCGGCTGCTCTAATTGGCCGTACACACCCCCTTCTCTAATTGGCCAGAACTTAATCGAACCGGACCGAACCGAGACTGAACCGAGACTGAGCCGAGACCGACCGAACCGGACTGAGCTGTACTTTACCCCCTTTCTTTTTGATCAGTGACAGCTGGCGATGAGGACGTAACCGGCGATAAGCCTAATACTCACAATCGCATCAACATGAATACAGCGTTTCATGCTAATAAATTGCAAGTAATGGGCATACAGCCTCTTTTTTTTAACAGCACAAGAAAAAAGTATTCGTTAGACGCCCGAAAATGATTTACTGCTTCGTACCAAAAGGCAAGGTAGAGAAATCAGGAAAAAGCATGCGCTTATCGTAAACCATTTTAAGTTTTTTGAAAAGTTGGATGGTATTAATGGCCTGAGTTTTTCCGTTCCGTTTAAGGAACTCCGGATAGATGATTTCCAGGTGTTTGTCCGTTCCGTCCAGTAGGCGCTTGAGGGCGTCAAAATCCAAGGCGCGGCCGCTTCGAACAAAGGACTTCTTCACTTCATCAAAATCCAAGATATCTTCAGTATACCCATTTTGTGCGATCCCCTTGGCCTACCGAGTATGACATGTCTATACTGTATATTAAAACTTTCACATGTATGTACGCACCTTCAGCTCAATGCGCCCGGTGTCAGTCTCATAACTATACACCTTGGGTCCACACGACACGAATTTGACGATGTGGTTCTCCCCGGCTTGCAGTTGGTTATCCCAATCCCCCAGAATGCTTCCGGTTTCAGGCAACCAGTCCCCGGGGCGTTGAATAAATATGACAGAATCGGTGTCGTAATACATGAGCCGCTCTCCGAGCTTCTCCATCAAGTCCAGCAGGACAAGGCGGGCGTTGGCCGTGGTGAAAGCGGCAATAGCTACATTGGTGGAATTGTTACCTTCGTTATAATCCTCACCTTGTGCATATGTAACCATAAGACAATCTTCATTAATCGCATAAACATCTTGGATTTCCACAGCATTTGAGCGGACCAAATCCAAGTACGGCTTGATCTTGTGCAGAAACTTTGTTACAGAGAAGTTATCCCGTTGGCCCAGCTTGCCCCACAGGAAATTCAGGCAATTTTTAGCTACGTTGCGGCGTCCGGCATCGTAAATCATGGCTTCCGGATCCAGATCGATGCCTTCGCGTTCCTTTACTTGCCGTATATACGCATCTTTTTGCTTTTGCGTTTTGCACCAACTTGGCCAGCCACTGGCTTCCATCTTGATTTTCAGGAATTTATTAATGTACTTTGCAAACAGACCGGCCTCTTTTTGGTCCCAGTGGTACACTTCATACACTTTCTGTACAGTGTATCCGCGGTCCATGGCGTGATGGAGTTCCGGGGTAGTCCACACACCTTCAATGCATCGGTCAGCATCACTGTGCTGGCAGAAGTCATTGTTCTGAGCTTCGGCACACGTACGACACAGAGCGAAGACCAGCTTTCTGTTGATAGTTGCGGGTAAGACAGGGTATAGGCACTGCGGCGGAGGAAGGACTTTGCAGTATACAAGGCCAAAATACTTTCTAACGTTCTCAAAATCCGAGAGAATAACTGTCGGATATCCGATCGGATACGCTTTTGTCTTGTTGACAAAAGGGTACAGACTGACCACATCAAAGTGAAGGATTTTTTGTCCCGGTTTTACTTCATAATACAGTCGACTCGCGTTAGTCCTACCGCCCTTGAAGGCTTCACGTGGATTCATTGGGTCGCGGAGATTTTGCCCAGCCAGAAAGTCGGCGATATTTAGTTCGTTGCGTTCCTTCATCCAATGACATTCCCACATTGTTACAACGGTATAATTTTCGTCTTCCAGGTAGCGCACACGGTCCACGTACTCTTCGTATACATCACGCATCAGCTTGCGCGAAAAAGGTGACCGATCCTGCGGCTCCGTACACTCAGGGTGCCCATGGAACACGCAACCATTATACTCGTACACAGTACGAGTTACTGCATCGTATCCATCTACATAGTACGGACCAATATGAACCTCTTTACCATTACGTCCATGTTGGATACGCCCACTCAGGTCTCGGTTAAGCACTTCCAACCACTGAGTAGCCTGGACACTGGTACGACGGTTCCGGTGGGGGCCATGTGCCGACAAAACTCCCAATTTGTTAGGTTCCAAGTGATAGGTGCGGTAGTACTTATTGCAAGCAGAAGACATCGTGATGCTGTCCAGTGGGTTTAATGACGTTAGACCACGAAAATCCATTGCAAACTGCAAAGCGCAGCGCCTAAGGACGGTGACGTCATTGCAGCAGTAAGCCATGATTTCCGCTCGGAAGTCGAAACGATTGTTGGACGCTTTTCTGGCCTCAGAATGCCACTGGAGGAATTCCTGCTTCTGTTTCCCTTTAAGACTATCGAAAAAATACATTTCCGGTTCGGGCCAGGGTAATATCTTGTCCCAGTTGTTTGGATGATTCAAGTGATGCGGAAAATCCCCTTTCCTTATCTCCAATTCCAGACCCACAGCTTTTGGCATACTGCTTAACCGCATCGGCAAAAAGTTCAGCGTATCCCGTGAGGTCATGGCTAATCCACTGTAACGCAATTCCAGAAGCTGGTTGCCCCGCTTGATTACCTCTACACCCTTTAGCTTATTGTCCATAAGGTACTTTAAGATGAAGTGCCCGTCATATCCCCGGAAATTGTGCGCGATAATGGTGTGGTTGCGGTGCTGCTCCGAAAACAACCATTCACCAAACTGCTGACCGACTTCTTTCGTCATCGGCTGGCCGTCTGCCGGAAATCGAAATTCCGTGCCGTCGACGTACTGGGCAACAACACAGACAGGGGTGTGCCCATGAACTGGGTCGTTGTACGTCTCGTAGTCGAAGAAAATGTACTTCAACGGCGGGTTGGGATCATCAGATGGAGGGGGTTTAGGTAGAGTCTTAATAAAGCACTTGTGATTGGACTGTTGAACCCAGTCGCGACAGACCACACAAAACATCTCACCGCACTGATGCTTTCCATTTGGACGACGAATCAAATTTATCAAACGGCGGCAATTTTTACAATAAAAAATCTGGTCGCAATATGTTTTCCCGTTGCGGCGAACATTTTTGTGCTTCTCAAAGCACTGTTGGTTGTTGAATCCGCGGCGACAATCCGGACAACGAATGATATTAGAAAATACGCAGTCGTCAGCTGAACGGAAGCACTTTGAGCAGTTTGCACCACACCGATGTTGCTCTTTGTGATCGTAAGGCTTGTCGCACGTTCCACAGTAATACGAAGAGCAATAAATACCAGTAACAGTTGTGACCAGGTCGAAATGGTTGTTGTCAAGCCAAAGGTAAATTTCTTGCATTTCCGGTTCTTTTTTCTCCGGTACTCGCGCGATCACGGCGCATCCGTGGTTGGCTGAGATGACCTTAATTTGGAACCCGGAAAAGCACTCTTCTTGCATGGCAGCCAAGTGTTCCAGGTCGTAGCATCGCCCGGGTGGCAAGTCGCATAACTGAACGATCTCCAATGCGTAACGTTCCAATTTCTTTACACCCTGTTTGCCGTATAAATGCTTCCATTGACTTTTATACACCTTTTGAACATCGTGAGTGAGGCGGTACTTTCCAAGGTACAAAGCAGCGGGTAAACAGAGATTATTGCTGACATGTACTGTGACTGTAGATTTACTGAAACGCATGGCATCCTTCGCTACATGTCTATGCTGTCGCTTCCACCTCCCGCCACTTGGAAAAACAGTGCGAAAGACACGGACGGAAAAGGTGTCATCGAGTACGGTACGTCCTGAGTTGGCTTTGGTAAAAACGGCAATGAGGTCCTTAATTTTAAAGTCTGACAGCTTGCGCATCGACAAAAAGATTGGATTGTCCAGGGTTTGACAATGAACGGAAACGTTAATGCGGTCGGAGGGATCAAAAGTTTCCATACACATCTGAAGAACCGTCTCCAACACTAACGGCATGAGAAGTACGGTCTCCTCTTTGGAAAAGAATCGGGGCAGGGAAGCAATCTGAATACGGTACTCCAGTTCGGAACTATTGAACTTTTTGAATGCGCGGTCTTTCACCTTTTGCAGACTAAACAGACTGGCAAAATTCGGAATGTCTTTTATGTCATTTAAGCTCTACAAAAAGCAACAATTAGAATACTACTGTTATTTTATGACAGATTTTTATTTACCAGTATTTTGTTCTCTGGGACTTGGTCAACGTCCATTGTTTGATTCTCGGCACCACCATCTTGTTCATCGATGTTCATCGGGGCCTGCATGTTATATTATTGTTTTCAGCAGCAGTTTCAAAGATTAGAGTGCAAGGCATTTTTAAACAGCTGCCACAAGTTACTGACAATCAAAACAATCTATTTGTGCATTATTCTAAGTAGGACAGAAGACTGACTGACGTAAGCAGTTATTATTTTAAATACGACAAATACGTATTTAGAAACTGGTGTTAATCAAAATATTCTACTTTTGCATTGTTCTTAGCAAGGCAAAAGACTGACTGGGGTCAACAGCAATTTATTCTGACTAAAAAAATATCTATTCAAAAAACCTACTACTGCATTGTTCTAGGTAGGGCAAACGACTGACTGGCGTTCGCAGCTATTGTTCTAACTAGTACAAATCCGTATACGCAATTTAGTGTTGATCAAAACAAGATATTAGCACAATTGTTCTATGTAGAGCAAACGACTGATATGCGTCAGCAGCTATTGTTTAACCAGGGCAAATCCGTATTCACAATCTAGTGTCGATCATAACAAACAACTTTTGCATTGTTTTAAGTAGGGCAAAGGACTGACTGGCGCCGAGGATTTTTGTTCTGACTAGAATACATACGTAATAACAAAACGGCGTCCATTAAAACAAGCAATCAACGCTATTGTTTTAAGTTGGTCAAGCGACTGACTGGCGTCAACGGTCATTGTTCTGAATAGGGTAATTACGTATTAACAAATAGTATGTTCATCAAACAAACCGGCGATGCAGTTGTTCTAAGTAGGACAAACGACTAGCAGACGTCAATGATTATTATTGTTTTAACTAGACAAAACCGTACTCATAGTGTCGCTCAAAACAAACTACTGTGCAAATATTCAAAAAGGTCACGTTCGTATAATTTAACGACCGCCACGCGGTAAAATAAAATTAACAATGCTTTTAAATTTTATGGCAAAAAATCATTTATCCAGGCACAAAGTCTGCTGAGTTACTAACATTAATATTAAAGAATTTACCGTAGTTATTAGCTAAATTATTTAATTAAAGTAACTTTACGTTCTGAATTGTTAATTTAATTACATTTATATTAATTGTCAATTATGTTTATTTACAGAAACAACCGTTTCAATTCAAAGTTCGAATAATTTTTAAGTAAAAACTATTAATCTTAATGAAGGTCACTTACCCCGCCATCCTCCAAACCCCAGTGACGTGCGGTAGCTTGGTGGGCAGCATCCGCAATATCGGCCGGTGGAGGTGATAGAAGATCCCATGACCCATCTCGAAAAACAGCTTCAACGTCCATACGGTCCGTATTGATGGGCTGATTATCGGCCATGGTTAATGTTCAAACATTTCAGATTTCAACTGGAAGTTTGTCGGAACGCCGCGCGGCTTTTAAAAACTTTGATCGCCAGCGAGTACTGGCGATGACCTAGTTTGGGCCTGGTCTCAGTCAACCGGACTGGTGAAGACCGAAGTTCAAATCAAAACATGTTTTGACAAGTCAGAGCATGCTGCAGTGGCGATACTCCTGTCTGGTCTCAGTCAAAGGACTGGCGATGGGCAAAGTTCAATCTCAACATGTTCTGACAAGTCAGAGCATGCTGCAGTGGCGATATTCCTGTCTGGTCTCAGTCAAAGGGACTGGTGATGGGCAAAGTTCAAATCTCATTATGTTCTGACAAGTAAGAGCATGCTGCAGGGGCGATATTCCTACCTGGTCTCAGTTAAAGGGACTGGCGATGGTCAAAGTTCAGATGTCAACATGTTTAGACAAGAATACGCTGCAGTGGCGGTATTCCTGTCCGGTCTCAGTCAAAGGGACTGGCGATGGTCAAAGTTCAGATGTCAACATGCTTAGACAAGTAAAAGCGTGCTGCAGTATGAATATTCCTACCTGGTCTCAGTCAAAGGGACTGGCGTAGGCCAAAGTTCAAATCTCAACATGTTTTGACAAGAATACGCTGCAGTGGCGGTATTCCTGCCTGGTCTCAGTCAAAGGGACTGGCGATGGTCAAAGTTCAGAGGTCAACATGTTTGGACAAGTAAGAGCGTACTGCTGTGGCGACATCCATATCTGGCCTCAGCCAACTGGACTGGCAATAACCCAGATTACCCTTTGTTTTGTCTTTCTCACTGGACTAGCAAGCCCGCTGCTTGTGCCATTGCCAGGGCGCTGGTTATCATTTCCTCGGTCTTTGGGTAAACAAGTTTGAACGCGCAAGTCTGTTTTTCCCCTCCCATTTTATTAGTTGTCAATAACTCTGTCGCATGGTGATTAGAGTATTACAAGCTACGCCTTTCCTCTTTGTTTACACAATGTATAACATTTGTCAGCTGGTGTAATTTTTGACCAGATGTGTAAAAAAAATATGGAATGTTCCACATAAAAGTATTTTTCTGTGCATTTTTACTGATTTTCTGTTTTATGGACACCGGTGCAGTGCGATTTCCCCGGAAACAAGTTTTACATTGATAAAGTTGATTCGGTTTTCCCTAGAAGCCACACCGGCAACATGAAAATTAATTCAATTCACAACACTTTTCTGAAGTAATGTCACCGTTAACAATGTTAAAATTGGGTTTTTTGTCGTTTGATGCCCCAACTTTTCCAGTGTCGGGATAGGAAAAAGTATTCACAAAGTGTCATAAACAGATGGTGTTAAAAGCAATATTAAAAAGTTGTATTGAAAATAATACAGGAATACGCACAAGCCTCCAAATAATTTTAAAAAATTAACAGTTTTTAAGCAATAGACTGAGTAAATTAAACCAAATGTTTTTAAGTGTGGGGTTGTACTGGGCATTTGATATTCAAGTCTAAGTCATTGAATGAGGCGGGTGTGAGTATAGTGCTGATATGTCATAGTTTTTCCATATTTGATAACCTAAAATATATGTGCTTTTAAATAATTCACAATACTTTATCCGGGGTTAGCACGTTTCTGTTTTTTTAAAAATATGGCAAAATATTTCTATGAAGAGTATTACTGACTTCGTTAATAAAATTTGGCACATTGTACAGGCAACTAAATTTTTTTAATTGCGGGTTTAAAGTTTTAGATTTGCATAATTTTGTAAGCAGTGCGTAGAGAAGAAAAACGTTTTCTGCATAATAATCTATGCTATTTATTGCCTCTCCTAAGAAAAAATCCACAAACGGTACGGAAATCTGTACAGCTACTCTAATTTACATTTATGGTTTTCGCCTGGTTTTGTATCTTTTCGACTCACGGAAAGCGGTCTTTACTATCAGCACTCCAGTTTATATAACAACAACATCCTCCTGCTATTGTGTACATCTCCAGAAAAAAAAACATGTAGTTTTTGAATTTTATTGAAAAAGTCTTAAAAATGCAAAGCAAAAAGTCTAAAACCGGATCAAAACTTGGATCTTTTTAAAACCGAAAAACGGAGTTTTATCAAAAGATTTTGCCATAGGTAAAGCACACAGAGTAATAAAAAACCGGTAGATTTTTGAAACAGAAAAATAGAGTTTTAAGAACGCTTTTAAAACTCTCATTTTCGCAAACCGATTCGTCCATATTTCGCATGAAAACTGATATTTTTCGTAAATTTGTAAAAGTTTTTTATAGTGGTATCAGTTAAATAGCTGCACAAGAACACAAAGACTTTGTGGAGATATAATTTGACAAGTTTATGTTTGCATAGTTGGAACACAATAAATATTAGTATCCTACTCATTGCAGCTTGGCGTGTTGCCTGGTTTACATGCGAAATTAGAGCTTGATTAAACAAATTTATCCGTAATACTAGAGCGTTTTTTTAAGAAAAAAGCCGTACGTTTCGACTAAGCCAGGCCTATTCGGTGATAAGTTTTGACTAAACCCAGCTGCCCACCACCGGCTTCAATCTTCGGTTGTTCGACCAACGTGAGCGCAGTCCATAAGTGCGTCAGCTGGCAATTTGTTTAAT